CCCTGGTCATTTCTATATTTTTTGCACGACATGTTGAATAAATATTAATGTTTCCACATATCATCTCCGATGTCCGCTGGACTTCGGGTTGCGCCGTGTCAGCTGTTTGGGATTCCCCTCCATAATTTCCCCTCAGAAAGCAGGAGGAGAATCCGCACTTTCTGATTGGCTACCTGTCACATTCAACAGGCTGCGTTAAGCTCCCAGTCGAGGAAACCTCCTGATTTAGATCAGAGTGGCCACGACGATCTACCGTAACACACCACATACTGCATGATGATCGTTTACGAAATCACCAGCGACAATCTTAGATAAGCCAACGTTCTAAGATTGTCATGAGGAGAAAATAGGTGCAAAAAATTGTGTAGTATGAACTACTGCATTAGGTAGTCGGATCTATTTAAATCTCTATTTAAATCTAGTGATTACTGAAGGAGACATACAGACTTCATAATCTGCGTTCAACTCTTTTGGTTGAATGCAATATTTATTTCCACTTTGGCTTTATGTTGTTTAGTTTTTATTCAAGTACGTTTTTTGTTAATGGAGACTGAGAATCCATGTTATTTTTGTTTTTGGTTGTTTTGTTTATTTAGTTTGTCAGTTCTAGTGTTATGTGTTCGTTTGAAAATACAGTGCATCTATCTATGGCAGGAAATCACATGCATTCTTCGTCATTTCCATTAAATCAGTGTCAAATGGTCTTGAAACAATATTATCGTTTATCGCAATAATTTTTTAGACAATTAATCGTCCAGCAAAATTTGTTATCGTGACAGGCCTACTAGCACGTGTTTCTTTTAAATTAATTATTGTGGCTTATATCCCATGAAAATCTAGACTCCGAAGGTTACATGTGGAGTCGACCCAGATTGTCGTCAGTTCAGCACAGCGATACCAGGGTCATTAAAGCGGCCTGTGGTACGTTTGGCAGCGTGACAAAGGGGGTCAAGTGAAAGTTTGCGAGCAGAGGGGGAAGCATTAAGTGTGCAAAAATTTCAGCAGCACTGACTTGGGGAGTTGATTAAGCACACAGTGGGCCGACAGCAGCAGATGGGATTAGTCGTCAAATCAGTGTGAAAACTTCACCCTACGCCTCAAACAGCTTGATTCTATGCCTCTGCGCTCTTCTTACTGATTCTGGGACCTTGACTTCCAAATTAAATGCAAACCTTGCTTTCATCTGAAAATAGGAGTTGGAGACTTAGAAGCAGTCCAATTTTTTATTTATTTATTTTTTCCTTTTCAGCCGAGGGTAAGACATTCTGACGTTGTCTCTGGTTCAGGAGAGACTTAACATAAAAAGTGCAACAGTTGCAGTTCATGTCCCTGATAGGTATGTGTGGTGGCTTTTGAAGCTCTGACTCCAGCTGCAGTCCCCGCCTTCTGAATCTCCCCCAAAACTCTTGAACAGGCTTTGTTTCGTAATTCTCGTAAGACTTCAGTTTTTCCTATTGTCTGCGCAAACATTTTCCCAACACATTATTTTCCATCGACATTCTTGGATATGGAACTGTGTCAAACTCCAGCTCCATTACCGATGGCTTTTTGTGGCTCTTACTCCTTGTGGAAAGTGTCACTGACTTTCTCCTTGTTAAGGAGAAAGTCAGCAGTCAACTATGTGATTGCAAAGATGTAGCATCTCTGTAGAAATCTGTTTTTTTTATTTTTTTATTTTTAATTGCAGTTATGTCATATTTTCCGAGTTTTGGTTTTCATTAGTTGTAAGCCAGAATGACCAAAATGACCAGAAATTAAGTCTTGAAATATCTCCCTGGTTGTCATACATCTGTATAATATTTTTGCTTTTAAAAACTGAATTGCTAAAATCATTTCAGTAATGTTATCAGGTTTTGAGATGCACCTAATCTGTATGTGTGTCTTATCTTTTTATTTTTTCCCAGGAAAAACTGGGTTCCAACATGGACAGTTCTCCACGGAGGAGTCCTGACGTTCCACAAAGACCCCAAACCCTCCCCAGGCGCTGTGGTAGGGTCCTCACTTTATTAAAATCGGTGCTTTATAGGAAAAAAAAATAAAAGAAAGAGTTCTGGCACTTCTCTGTTAATGTCACACAAATATGGGACAGCAATGTGCATAATATTTCTATGCACATTTGTTAATCAATCTATAGATTAGCAGTTTTATTGTACTTGGAGCCACTTTTAATAACGTCAAGCCTCATGGCGTTAACATGGACTTGAATACGAACTTTGAAGAAACAAAGAAAAACTCCTAAAAAGCGCAAAGAAGTGACAAGTCACCCTCAGGCTTAAGAGTTCAATAAGCTTATTACTATTACAGCCAGAAAAATATATTTATTTTCAGTATTAGGTTTATTTTTGTTTTCTTCTTCCTTAAAATGTATGTATTTTTTCCCCTGTCATTATCTAATGTGGTTTTAGTCTTGCTGTGTTCTATTCAACCCCTTGTATTAATTATTGCTCGTTAGGTCTTGCCATATAAAATATATATTCCTTTATATTTCGTTTCTTAGTTTATTCCTCCTTATTGTTCTTTGCTATTCTGCTTCTTAAACTGGTTTTAGCCTTTCTTGAATTATTCTTATCTCCTTCTCATATCATCAGTCCACCTCCCGTTTCTCTTGCATTCACGCTCTTGTGATTCACCTGTGCTGCCTCCTCATCCCCAAATAAAACCCTAAGCCGCACCGCTGCCTTGGCTGTTCTGTCACTTCTGTCAGAATCGCCGGCGTAGACGAGCCTTCGGGTCACGAGCCGGCAGTGACAGTCACGTCTTTTGTTCAACTTCAGCTCACCTCCTGGAATGTGGCGCGGTCAGTTTGGTAATCAGCTGAATTTTTTTATTTTTTTTTTCTCCTCTTGTTTTTCCAACAGAACAAGACCAATCAGATTGTTCCAGAGTTTACGGTGGAGCTGAAGGGCGCTACGATTGGCTGGGCCACAAAGGACAAATCCAGTAAAAAGAATGTTTTAGAGGTGTGTCTGTTTGTTGACACTGAAAGCAATGTTAAGTGTTCTGCTGAGCGGATGATTTTTACTTTGAGAAAATAGAACATGCGCTGTTAAAATATAATTATGTTCATGGAAAAAAAAATCATTTGAATCATTAATATAAACTTTGATTAAATCCTCCTTGATGTGAGTTTTCTCCCGTCTTTCAGCTCAAAGGGAAAAATGGTGTAGAGTTCCTTATCCAGTACGATACGGAAAGCATCATCCATGACTGGCACAAAATTTTAAAGGATACCATTCAACAGCTCGTAAGTCCTGGCAGGGACCAGAACCATCAACAGGAAGTAGTTAAATGAAAAAAAAAAAAAAAAAAAAAAAAGAAAAGGCATCTCTTATGTAAATGTTTTGAATTTGCAAATTAGGATTGCTTGTTCTTTCCAGGACACAGAGGCTGATTTTACGTTTGTGTTTATATTTAAAATGGTGAACTTTTCATAAAACCAGGAAATGGGAGGAACAACATGTTATGGGGTTTGGCTTAAGGTTAAAAAGATCCATTCTGTCATCAGCTAATCTCACTGAACATCTTATATTCTGTTTTACATTTTGTCTCTCAGTTCAGAAAATGTCAGATCTGCTCTGAATTGAAAGATCTTTACTTTAAGTCATAAATATGGCCATTGGAGGCTCTGACTGAGGAATTCAGGTGTTGCCACGCTGAGCCCTCCCTGCAAACCTGCAGAAATGCTTTACTGCTTATTGGCTTAAAATCTCTATGTTTGCGTAGAGTTAAAAACTTCTTGACGTGGCCATTGATTCCCAGATCCTTTATGAAAATAAATGCTTAAAGAGATTTGACTTGAAAACTACGATTGAAATAAGTGGCCAAAACCTCCATGTCGAGGTTTTAAAAAGTCTTAAGTATGTTCTAAATTATACAATTTAGTTA